ATGTGTAAGAAATATTGAGAAAATGGTACTGTAATAAGTTTCAATAGGTTGTTGAGGACCAGGCCTATATCAGGTTATTCCTCATATACATAGTTACAGTAGGTAGAGGTAAAAAAAATCGGAACAAAACAGTTTAAATATTAGTTTTGTCATTATGCATTCTAATTTTACTGTAAAGATATTTTAGTACTTTGTCTTTAGTTTCCAAGCTAAACTGTATTTAGTTTAGAAGTATTTAAAACTTTTTCTTCATATTATACTTTTAGGATCTGTCATAACTCATTTTGAATTTATCATTTAAGAGAGCCACAGATAAAAAGTGAGTCCCACATTGTGCAAATGAGAAAATATTTTTTAAAATTTCGAAGGGGGCCAATTTGAATATATAAGCTTATATAGATGCAAATAATATAGATCACTGTCTAGTTTTAATTTTTTATTTAGCTACATGTTCATATTTAAAACATGTTCATATATAAAATTAATATACTTTATAAAAATATAAAAAATTAGAAGTATTGCTCATTTATTTGTCTCAAATTTCATAAAACAATTTTATTAAATTTTACATGCCTCTTTGACATCAGGAGCTTCATCCTCACTAGAACACTTTTTAAATCATTTGACAGTTTTAAAGAACACTTCATCTTTACTTCTGTGTTATTCAAGATTTAGTGATTTTTAAATCTGTATGATACCACCCTGGAATTTTATCTCAAGGCACAAGTATATAATACTCTATAGTACTATACTATATAATACCAATACTATATATATATATTACTAATAGAACAATGTTTTTTTTTTTCTTTTTATTTCTTCTTTATGTGTCATTGACATATTCTTTAAAGGTTTAATTGAAAGGCGAATATAAATTTTGCAGTCGTTAGGTCGTTCCCTAAGAATAACTAAATCTGTGTTGTTTTTGTGCGTCTTTTCTTAATTGAGTCAGTCAGGTTTCCTCTCCAAGCATTCAAAACCATCACTGGTTTCAACTTCATGTGTCTTCCCCAAATATTGTCATGTACCAGTCAACAAAAGACCGCATGTAGGATGGTGGTCAGAGAAATAAGGTATACTGTATAGTCTAGGTGTGTAGTAGGCTGTACCATCTAGGTTTGTGTACACTCTGTTCATACAACAACGAAATTGTCTAATGATGCATTATCCCATTGTTAAGCAATGCATGGCTGAAGTTACTTAACATGAAGTAATTGATAATGTCCTGTAATAGAATAGACTTTAAGGACTCAAAAACAAAGTTATTCCCTCGTTTCTAAGGTATAGTTTTTTAAAGAATATATACTTAGATTTGAGAATATATACTACATTGATTTGAGGATATATACTACATTGGAAATAATAAAGTAGGTAGGCAGGTGGGGAAAAATTGATAGAGATATAAAAGAGCAAAGGAACTTACATGTCTTCTAGTTATGCTGTTACTTAACCTCTGGAAACTACTTTTGTTTATTCATCTTTTTACTGCAGGTCTATGTTTGTGCTGTGTGCCGGAATGTTTTCTGTGTCGACTGTGATGTTTTTGTTCATGACTCTCTCCACTGTTGTCCTGGCTGTATTCATAAGATTCCAACTCCTTCAGATATTTGATTCCAGCATGTAGTACACATTGTATGTGTCAAAAAGAAATTTGCAACTGTAAATAAAGTAATTCTTTAGAAGAAGCTCCAATTAAAACATAAAGAACAATTTTTTAAAACTGATTTAAGAAACTTTTTGCTGAGACTGTAATATGTTATTAATTTTTTAATATATGTCATGTCACAGATATGCCTCAAATCCTATAGTACTTCATTCAATTAGTTGTGTTTTTTATTATTTTAAGTCATAATGTTTTCAAAGTCATTATGCATTATTATGTATAAATTACTTATAATGATTAAATTGATGGGATAACTTCACTGTTTTATTTATTTATTTTTTTTTCGTGACCGGTAAGGGGATCGCAACCCTTGGTGTGGTGTCACCCACACCGCGCTTGGCCATTCCTATATAGGATCCAAACCCGCGGCGGGAGCGTCACTGTGCTCCCAGCGACGCACTCTCCTGAGTGCGCCACGGGCTCGGCCCAATTTCACTGTTTTATAATTAAACTAAATACAGAATCTTTATGGTTTATTTTAATTAATTAATGTAAGAAGACAGTTTAGTATTAATGTAAATTCAGTATAAGATGAAAATTAATCAATAGTTATGAAATTAATACATATGAAATGACAATACTACTGCATCCACCAGAGGGGTCTTTTTAGGCTTAACTAAACATTTATAATATAATTATAAAATTAATACATTTGAAGTTATTTGTGGCTATGACCAATAGGGGTCTTTTTAGGTTAAATATTCAAACTCACAAGACTGCCATGGTCACACTTGGATACACAAAAGGCTGTTAAACAGGAACAACAGCCTGCCAGCAGGGCAGCATCAAACAGTCATCATTAGCAGTGGAAGTCCTTGTAGCTGTCCACCTACCACAGTTTAGGTGCAAGGAGATGAGATCCTCCACAGGCATCAAGGAGCCAAAATTTCTTTTAACAATTCCGTAGTCACAGCTTCCAGGTCCCCAAAAGTGATGTATCAGTTTCAAGAGTCACCACACTCAGGAAAGCCTAAAGCATGAGGTCCCTATTGATTATTTATAGTGCATCCCCATCAAGATAAAATTTAGCAATCAGGAGTCATTTTTACTAAGCAAAGTTGCGTAGAAGCATAATTGACATTCTTACCTCTATCAGTTACCAGGGTAACAGAGCTAAAAAGTTTAACTGAAGGTGAGATTCAAATGCAGACAGGGAAAAGGTCTTGTTTAGCCCTTCATTGTCATGTGCTAAACCTATTGCTTTAAAGTTCACACTGTATTAATTGATAAAACATTTTTTTAATGGAATATGTCTAAGTTTGATTATTTGGTATTTGAGAATAGTTTATTATGTAGTTCGGGCTAATGAAGCCAAAGTTGTGGTGTCTATCCATGTTAGCCTTGCTGAGTTTCATACCCAGGAATTATTTAACTTAACTCTCTTCAACTTTCCCACTATGGGTCATCAGAGAAATTTAGGTGAGAATGGGTGATAGAAGTGTATGTTTTAGGTTCAATGCAGATATGTCATTATAAGCAGAACTCTTTTCTGGGTATATGCTTTGGAGAGTGAATCAGACTTCCCTAGCAAAGGTATCTATTTTATATCTATAAACTTCAGTCACTCTAGATTGAGTTTCATTGTAAAATTTGTGATTTTATAAATAAGAATTTTATAAATAAATAAGAAGAACATTATCAGTAAAGACAATGTAATCCCACCCTGGAGAGTCTATTCAATCAGTCATGGGTGGAGCCCAGGAATATGCATTTTTTAACAAGCAGACACACACACACACACACAAAGGTGTAATGTTATCAAAGTAACAGGTGTTTTTCTCAGGAGTCATACTCCCTGAGCCTAGACCCAGTGGTTTTTTTATGTGGAAACAAATTTCAGCTATAGGTCACCTGGTAACTGTTATTTTCTTCCTTCTACTTTGTCAACAGAGGTATCAGTGACTTGCAGGAGATGTCTTTAACACTGTCAGAGTATTCTATCTTCCCCTACCTGACTCAGAAAGAAGGCCTACAGTAGTCAATGCTTGAAAAGTTACTAGAACTATATTAGAGACTCACCCTCCCAACCTGATAAAAAAGGGATAGCCAATATCCTTTTTGACAGCTTTATCTCTTTCTACAGTTTTGGGTTTCATTTAATACTTGATAAGGTTCAGGTGAATATTTAGTTATGCTTAAGGAGGAATTTCCTTTTTCACAATTATAGAGAAAATCTTGGTTTAAGATTGCAGAAATAGAAATGATGATATAAGACAGTTTGGGCCTTTAATTTCCTCTTGAAACTCCACAATATACTACAATATTGAAGGAAGCTTTTTTTTGGGAGGGGTGGCTGGCAAGGGGATCTGAACCTGTGACCTTGGGGTTAATAAGGTTGTGCTTTAACCAACTGAACTAGGTGGCCAGCCCAAGGAAAATACTTAACATTAGGGATCTTTCTGAACGGTATGTCTTCTGAGTTCCACTGTTCAATTAATTAGACAATTTTTAATACTTTAAACTCATTATGAAAATTAGATTTATGTTAAATATTTCACATGTATACATTTTTACTTTATATTCTTTTGTATTCAGTCTGACCATCTTTTTCTTTTAACTAAAGCATTTATTCCATTTATATGTAATATGTAAGTTAAGTTTACAGTTGACCCTTGAACAACAGGGGTTTGAACTTCACAGGTCCACTTATATACAGGTTCCAAATCAGATTTAATCAACCACCATGGATCAAAAATACAGTATTTGCCGGCTGATCCCATGGCGCACTTGGGAGAGTGCGGCGCTGGGAGCGCAGCGACACTCCCGCCACGGGTTCGGATCCTATATAGGAATGGCCGGCGTGCTCACTGGCTGAGCGCGGTGTGGACAACACCGAGCCAAGGGTTGCGATCCCGTTACCGGTCACGAAAAAGACAAAAAAATACAGTATTTGCATTTATGGGATGGGGAACCCTGGAGGGCTGACTTATTCACGGCCAACTACTTAATCACTTAACTACTTCAGTTAACTACTTAAGTAAAGATGCAGGGAAAGTTATACACAGATTTTCGACAGTGAGGGTTTGGCACCCTGACCCCTGCATTGTTCAAGGGTCGACTGTATACCTAATAAATACAAACATTTATTATATTTGTGGATAAAAATATATATTACCACTGATGCATTTGGGTTTAAATCTTTCATCTTTTCTTATTGGTTTAAACTATTCCATCTTTTTCTCTTCTTTCTTGCCTTTTTTTGGATTATTTTCCACCATTCTATAGTTTTCTTCATTAGCTTGGAAATTGTATATTCTGTTTTTATTTAGTGGTTACCCTAGAAATTACAACACACAGAATTTCTTAACGTGGGTCCTCTAGAAAGTAAAGCCTGAGGCAAGATGAAAATATGGTTACTTTATTTGGGAACTGCAGATCTGGGGAGGTGAGGGTGGAGAAGAAAAGGGAAAGTAAGGCAAGGAAGAACGTGATACAATGTGTTACCACAGTGGCGGGGCTTCATGACGAGCTGTGAAGACAGAAGTCCCCCAGCAAATGTGTTCACGTAGAATGCAAAACTTCTCCAGAAGGTATGTAAGGAGAAACTGCCAGTCTGAGCAGTTTGTTGAAGGGAGGAAGGAGAGATAACTTAATATTCCTAGCTTCTTCCATCTCCTGTTTCCCGTTGGTCATGGTTTGCCCACAGGACAGTATCATCCAGTCCTTTGGTAACTTCATGCTCAGGAAGCCAGATGTCATGCTCAGTGATGTGGCATTGCATCCAACTGTGGAAGGTGGAGGGGCAACTCAGGTCAGATAGGCTTGCTGCACTTCAGTTTGGACTCCAGCCAGCTCAGGAAGCTAGACAAAGGTGACAGCAGTGTGGAGCAGGAGGTAGGCAACACCTTTGGAGAGGAGGAGGCAGCCAAGGGAATCTGAGGAGGCATTAGAAGTTTGTGTCCAATATTCATTTATAACTTACCAAAATCTAGAGTTAATACTTGCACGTACCTTTATCCTCCCCACAGACAATACAAGGACTAAAAATACCTTTATTTCATTTACCTCCCTCCTCACATATATATTATTATTTCATATATTTAATTCTTTTATTTTCACTTCACAAGATATTAATATTTGTTTTAATCAGTCCGTTTATGAAGATCCAGTCACATACTTACCACTTTCTTGGCTCGTCATTTCTTCTTTCATCTCAGAACTATTTAGGATGATTTTCCTTCTAAAGTATATCCCTCAGAATATAGTAGCATTCAGAGTACACAGCTACCTATTATGTCAGAAAGGAGGAAAAATAAGAATATGTATTTGTATAAACAAAAAGAAACACTTGAAAACAATAGAGAAAATCAATGAAACCAAAAGTTGGTTCAACAAAATTAACAAATCTTTAGGTAGGTTTACCAAGGAAAAAAAAAGACTCAACTTACTAATATCAGGAACGAAAAAGGAGACATCACTACAGATCTTACAATTGACATGATCCCCCACAAAAAGAAGAGACCCCATACCTATTAGCATTCATGCCCTGTTTCCCCTGGGGTTTTTTTGGTTTTTTTTTTTTTTGGTGTTGGCTAGTACAAGGATCAAACCCTGGACTTTGATGTTATCAGCACCATGCTCTAACCAGCTGAGCTAACTGGCCAGCCCCTCTCCCATAGTTTTTTGCAGTATTCTCTTCCAATTCTTTTCATTCTTGTAAGTTGTATGGTATGTGAATTATATCTCAATAATGCTGCAGTTTTTTTTGAAGGAACAATAACACTAATGACAAAACATGGTCAACAGGACTTCTGCTTCTCAGAATGACAGTAGGAATGAAAAAACTGTAAGGATTCTTTGTAAGATTTCTCAGTACTTTGTAACTTGCTTATGTTTGTGACCATGTCTATGTTCAATTTCTTGTTGTTGGCTGGCCGGTAAGGAGATTTGAACCCTTGACCTTGGTTTTGTAACACCATGCTCTAACCAGCTGAGCTTATTGGCCAGCCCTTTTTCTTTTCTTTTTTTCCAGCTGTCTTTATCTCTATAATGATTGGCAAATTCATAACATGAAATGACTTCATAAGTAGTGAGAAATAAAGGGTAAAACCAGCCCTTGGGAAGTATGTTTGTGGAATCCCAAAGCCTTTCGTGGGTGGCAGAGTTGAGGAGAAAGGGCAAGAAGTTTGAGTTCCTGGGGCCTATAGTAAGGAAGAAAAGGGCACGGGAGGTTGTCACACTTCTGGGAAGTAGTTTTAGGAGTACACTTTTGGGTCCAGTTTTGTAACGGCAGAGGATTTATAATTTCCATGTTGTCTAATTCTGTTCTGGGGAGAGGTATTACAAAATGGACTGGGGACTCTGCTGGGGTCCTTATGGGATTAAAATTTTGTTTTTTCTAAGTAGTAGACTTTATTTTTATAGCAGTTTTAGGTTTACAGAGAAATGGAGCCAAAAGTATAGTTCTCATTACCCCCCAACACTCATTTCTCCTATTATTATTATTTTTTTTTTGGTGGTTGGCCAGTACAGGGATCCAAACCCTTGACCTTGGGGTTACAAGGCTGTGCCCTAACCAACTGAGCTAACCTGCCATCCCTGGTTTCACCTATTGTTAACATGTTACATTAATGGGGTACATTTGTTATAGTTATGAACCAATATTGATCTATTATTAACTCAGTTTTACATCAGGTTCCCTCTGTATTGTACAGTTCTATGAGTTTTGCCAAATACATAATGTCATGTATTCACCATTAAAGTACATACAGAATAGTTTTGCTGCCCTAAAAATCCTTGTGCTCCTCCTACTCATCCTTCCCCTTCTTTCTCCCCCCTGAAACCCTGGCAACCACTGATTTTCTTCTATTACTACAAACATTTATCATTTCTTTGTGCTGGGAACATTGGAAATCCTCTCTTCTAGCTAACTGAAAGTATGTAATAAATTGTTGCTAATTATAGTCATTGTACTGTGCTATGGAACACCAGATCTTATTCCTCCTATGCTATTTGAGTCACACCTCAGGTCAGGACCCTGGAAACAATACACAATTGTTCATTCATTATTAATTCACTCAAAACACCTTGTACATCTGCTGTAAGTCTGACATCATCCTAGGCATTAGGAATATATAGACATTAAAAAGACATAAATCCTAACCTCATGGATCTGTGAATCTCCGTCTAAAAAGTAGCAAACCTATAAAGAAGTCCATGTGCAAGTGCTGACGATATGCCCAGTGCTATGGGAATGCAAAGGAGGAGCTGTTGCTCGGATGCAACTCAAATGTCCACAAGGGCCAGGCAGATAATGCAAATAAGTGAAAGGGGACCAGGTTAGTGCAGAGTGGAAAGCACTTGTCCCATCTAAAGGAGGCAGCCTCTGAGAGGTTAGGGGTAGAAGGAAGGTGTAGTTTTCACTGTATATGCTTTTTTACCTTTTGAATTATATATATATGCATTTGTTACCTAGTCCAAAAAATAAAGATTTTTAAGTGAGGTAACTATTATTCAGCCCCTGCCTGTTTTTTTCTGGGAACGGAGGTCCTCTGGTGCCATATATTTGATATTTAAGGAGAAACTAAAAAACTGGATTTTATTTATTTATTTTTTTCCTTTTTTGTCTTTTTTTGTGACCGGTAATGGGATCGCAACCCTCGGTGTCGCGCCTGCACCGCGCTCAACCAGTGAGCGGACTGGTCTCTATATGGGATCTGAACCCTCGGCGGGAGCGCTGCCGTACTCCCAAGCACTGCACTCTACTGAGTGCGCCACCGGGCCTGCCCAAAAACTGGATTTTATTTTATTTTATTTTATTTTTTTGTCTTTTTCCATGTCTGGCAACGGATTGCAACCCTCAGTGTCGCCCCTGTACCGGACCGGGACCGGCAACGGGATCGCAACCCTCGGTGTTGCCCCCCGCGCCTCGCTCAGCCAGTGAGCGGGAACCGGTCTGTATGTGGGATCCGAAACCTCGGCGGGAGCGCAGCCGCGCTTCCCAAGCGGCGCACTAGCGCAGTGCGCCACTGGGCCGGCCCCAAAAACTGGATTTTAAAAGTGAATTCTAACTTTTAAATGTTGGCATATAATTTGAAGAACATGCAGGCTAAGTAAAACTTATCTTCAGGTCACCGGTTTACAAACTTAGGCCTGTCCTGTCTCTTCTCCATCCCTTATCATCAGGGCAGGTAATCTTTTAATTTTCAGATTTTACACTTTCCTGGGAAAGTATACCCCTCTTAGTGGATTCAGTTCTGGTTTTAGGTATTAAGAATTGAGTCATTGTAGGAAGAGGCATCTTTTAAGGATCTCTATAATCAGTGATTCTTTTTTTTTTTTGTCCTTTTTGAGCCCGGCCGCACCGCACTCAGCCAGTGAGCTCACTGGCCATCCCTATATAGGATCCGAACCCGAGGTGGGAGCCCTGCTGTGCTCCCAGCGGTGCACTCTCCCGAGTGCGCCACGGGCTCGGCCCGATAATCAGTGATTCTAAATGTGGTGCTTGTACAGGTAGCATCAGCATCACGTGAGAACTCATTAGAAATGCAAATTCTTGGGCCCCATCACAGACCTCTTGAATCAGAAACTGTGGGGGTGGATCTGGCAATCTGTGCTTCAACAAATCCTCCAGGTGGTTATGATAAATGCTAAAGTATGAGAACTACTGCCTCTTAATCATATTACAGAGGTACTTGGGTAACTTAAAAACAGGTCCTGATAATAGACTTCCACTGAACTTTAAAAAAAAAAATTAACTCAGGTAACTTTACAGAAAACAAATCCCAAACATGGAATTGCTTTTTTACTTTTCTAGATTTTCTATAAATATTAGTGTATTTGCATACTTAGAATTTTAAAAAATCAATTTTATTGGGTTATTAATAACATACAATAAAATGCCCTAATTTTAAATAATTCCATGCCTTTTGACAAGTAATAGATACCCAAGCAATGACCAACACAGTCAAGTGAGAGAATATTTTCATCTCTCCAAAAGGATTTGTTTGCAGTCAGTACTCCCCAGGACTTTTAGCACAAGTTAACACTGATCTGTTTTCTATCACTGTAGATTAGTTTTGCTTGTTAGATACAATTTCTTATAAATTAAATCATATAGTATGTATGACTTCTTTTGCTTAGTGTAATGTTTTTGAGATTTATTCATGTGTTGTATATATCAGTAGTTTATTCCTGTTTACTGCCTGTATTCCATTGTATGGATACTTTGTTTATCCTCAGTGGACACTGAGTTGTTTCTGGTTTTTTGACTATTGTGAATAAAGTCGTATGAACAAATCTGTGTGTGTTTATACACTTTCATTTTCTTGGGTAAATATGTAGGAATGGAATTGCTAGATTGAATGGTAAATGTATACCTTACATGACACTGCTGAACTGTTTTTCCAAAGAAATTGTATATTTTACATTCTCACAAGCAACATATAGGGTTCCAATTGTTCCACATCCTCAACCTTACAATACAAAAGTTAATTTTTAGAACGCATTCACAATTGTAGACAAGGAAAAAATTTCTTAGGATACAAAAAGTATTAGTCATGAAAGAAAAATTAAAATTGGATTTCATCAAAATTAAAAACTTCAGAAGACACCATTAAGAAAATGAAAAGACAAGTCATGAAAAGTCTGAGGGAATATATTTGCAGTAAATATCTAAGAAAGGACTGGTGTCCAAAATATATAAAGAATTCTTACAATTCAATAATAAAAAGGCTAACAACCCAATTTAAAAATAGAAAAAAGATTTAGCTACCAAAGAAGATATATGATTGACCAATAAGCCTTTAAATTAAAACCACAATGAGATACATATATTTAAAACACTGCCCTGTGGGGCTGGCCCATGGCTCACTCGGGGAGAGTGTGGTGCTGATAACACCAAGGCCACGGGTTAGAAGTTAGAAGGGGGCCAGGGAATACGTGGTAAACTATTTAACAATTGCTTCTTGGTTGGAGAAATGGTCTTGTTGGAATAGAGCTTAGCCAGAGGAGTTTACATACCGATGCTGCTGGTAACAGCTAGAAGCCTTACTAACTCAGCAATATGCTAAACTACCAAAATGGGGAGGAAATGAACCTTCTGGAACACCTGAGTTTGCCTCTCCTTAAAAATCTAGTCTTTTGGAAACAAAAAACAAACAAAAGAATAAAAATAAAAAACTAGCCTTTACGGTGGCATAACATAGTAGTTAAAAGTGCAGAGTCTAGCAAGACTGCCTGGTTAATCTTAATCACTACGTGCCTGAGTTTCTTTATCTGTAAAATAGAAATAATAACAGTACCTACCTTGTTTGGACTGTTAAAGGAATTAAATGAC